ATTAATCCCAAAGTTTTGTGTTGATCACTTAAGGCCTTGGTGAAATATAACTCAATCTGATTCCATCAAGCAATTGTCAATTTTAAAGAATGAAAAGGAACCATCAAGACTTCACTGAATATATAAGGATCCAGAGTCTTTATAATCACATTGATCATTCTTTAAAACCACATAAGCTTCCATCAAGATTAAACAGAAAAATAAACATGTTTCACTGTAAAGCTTTATGAACATGTCTATTCATTGTCCCTTAATTTGACTACTAAGGTCTTATCATTTAAAATGATATCCTGTCATGAATGAAAATCATGTGCAGACATCTTCAGCTAGCTTTCTGCTCAATTCATTCAAGTCTTTATGAGTATATATATACATAAAAATTAAACATGTAAACTGTTTAACTAGAAAACTTTATTTCTGAATCAGAAACTGAAATCAACATCCATCAAAAACCATAACCAACTGTAATTAAGACTTCAACAGAAAAGTACTCTAAACTTAACAAGGCTCCCACTGATTTAAGCATTCAAATCATTCCTTAATCCCATGCTCATAACATGCCTATGGAACACAGCATTTGGGACTCCTTTTGTGAGAGGGTCTGCTATCATTTTGTCTGTACTGATATGACTTATATTAGTATAGCCTTGAGCAATTTTCTCCTTCACTATTATGAACTTGACATCCAATAGTCTTGAACCCTTTGTCCTTTTGTTTCCTTTTGCAAACAAAACAGCTGCGCTGTTGTCATTCCATATTTGAATTGGTCTGTGTATCGATTCAACCACATTCAAACTGATAATGAAATTTCTTAACCATATGGCTTGAGAGGTGGCCTCATAGCATGCTAGAAACTCTGCAAACATAGTTGAACCTGCTGTCAGAGGTTGTTTTACACTTCTCCACGACACTACACCTCCTCCAAACATGAATACAAAACCTGATGTTGATTTCATGGAGTCTTGACATCCTGCAAAATCAGCATCTGCATAACCTTGTAATTCCAGCGTGCCACTTCTTTTGAATGTTAGTTTGTAATCTTTTGTCCTTTGCAAGTATCTTAACACTCTTTTCCCTGCAATCCAGTGAGCTTGTCCAGGATTGGACTGAAATCTTCCTAGCACACTGACTGCAAAAGCCAAGTCAGGTCTGGTACAAACCTGCG